GTAAGTGAGGCTACAGCTCCTACACCAATCACATACTGGATTTTCTCATGAATTAGGAGTGGAGGCTCAGATGTCAGCACAGCACAGTGGTTCTCAATCTAAAAGCTGCCACCCTCAAAGCAACTGAACAAGGTTAGAGGTAGTGACAGTTCTTTTCTTTTTGAAACACATGCCTATCTTTTCAAAGTCTCATATAACATGACCACAGAACAGAAAAACCATGCTATTCTAGCAGTTCCTTAATAACCTTGCACAAAAAAGGTGGGTCAGCAATAGTGGGTCACTGCCAGTTCCTGGAGTTTGCTAAAACTTAAGCATTTTTTTCAAATAAAAGTTACGTGCCAATTTAAAGGGGTAAAGATCCTCTAAGTTTCACAACCATCAGTGCCTATAGAGATTCTCTGTGCAAATGTATTGTTTTATTTTGTGATCAGCAGAGGCTGCATGAGGAGACCAGGCCAAAATTCACTGTCGGTACAGCTTCATATTCAACTCCAGCCTGCCTTCAGTTGATTTACTGTTATCTCCACAAACACAGACACACAAAAATAATGAGAAATGGCTAAAGTAATTGGATTATAGGTTGTTTGTCTCCCTTTGGGTGGAAGTTTGCAGTCTGACCTTTTATTTCAGCAAAACCATCTAAAACAGCTGAAGAAAGACTCTACTTCCTGGATGAAAAGCATGCTTCATCAAAAGCTTACACTTCCACAAAATGAATGAAAATATTTCCTTGTATACCCAAATATCCACAGTTGTGAGGTTTTATCACTAAACCATAAGGACAAGTATTAACTGTGTTATCACAAATAAAGATGGTTGTCCATTAATGACCTAGAAGTACCCTATTACCTGGGGTTTCTTTTTAATGTATTTACAGATGAAGGGTAACTTAGGGCACAGTCAGATGAGCCCAAACTGGCAGCAGCCAACAAGCAAAAAGGTTGTTGCTCCCCTTATCCTCCACTGAAGGTTGCCATCCCCTCCATTCCGCTAGTTGTCTGCTCAATTCCCTAACTCTGCTCTTTAAAGTGGTATAAATTTTAAAAAGAAAAACTAGCTTAGGAACCAGAGCAGGGAGAGCCAGGAAAACAGAACAAGTTCTTAACTCTTTTTAGCAGCAACCAAAAAACATATCTGACTGTTCTCTAAAAAGGAATTTGTTGTATTTGCTGTTTACTTAAATATTTGAAGGCTTCCTTGGGCAAGCTTACTAGAGAATATACACAGCACACTCAGAGAAGAGCAGAGGGAGCCTGTATTCAGCAGAGGACTGAAGTCAGTAGTTATTGGAATGCACCATGAAAATGGATGCATTCCCAGCAAGTGACAGATGCCAAAACAAAAGAACCCTCAATGGGCACACTTCTTTAGGAAGCCAGAGGAGTTCATGAAGCTAGCAGAGTTTAGTAGCTGGAACTGGCGCCTTTTGGGCACCGGGGTTAAATCCGAGCTGATCCTAAAAAATACTGGATGTCTTCAAGTGACACTGGGAGTGTTATCTGTGACAGACATAAATTTTACTTTTTAAAAAAAAAATAATTTTGTTTTCTTAGGCTGTCTCAACTAGAGCAGACTCTTTTTAGAGATGAAAACTCAAGATGCTCATCAAGGAGTTAAACCAACACTAAACCAAAAACCACTTTGGATTTTTTTCTTCTTCCACAAACTGGAATTGCACCTGAAGCATTTAAAGGACTTCGGTAAACCAGAACCAAAACTTACTCTTTCAGCACAACAAACCATCTGAAAACAAACACCCACAGCAAAAGCGTGGCAAGCATGGGAAGTGCTCTGCAGACCAGCAAGCAGCAGCTGTTACAACCTCCCCATCCCCACCACACACAAGCAGCCCTCACTTCCCTACCGACCAAGCAGTCACACTTCTCACAGGTATTCAATGTGAGCTAACCAAGCTCTCCCTGTTAAGAAGAGGCTCGCATATCCAATTCATGCTCTTCCCCAGCAAAGAATTCAATGTTAATCTACGGCCACCGAGCCACATCAACCTGTGCTTTGCCCTAGCAAGGACACAAGCATATCCCACTTTTGAGACCTACTTCTGGAGGAGTATGAGGAGACATATGTGCAGGGGTTTTGCAGCAAGCTGCAGCTCCCACGCCACAACACTGGTACGGGCAGGTTCAGCTGGGACCACATCTCACTGCCCCAGCTTTAAGAAGTTGAAAACAGTGGTGCAACATGAAGAGCACCCCAGCTCCAATGGGAACACTGAAGACCAGAGCTAGAGGTTATCCCAACTGAAAGCCAGTATGTCAAAGGATCAGAGCACCACATACCTTGAAGGGACTGTTTTCCAACAACAATGCTTTCACCTTCTAGTCGGTCAACCATTACTGGCCCCAATCAGTTAAGTTCAGTCATAACAGATCCTGACCAAAAGTCATTCTTTTTTCATTTCTCCAATTTTAACCATTATTCAGCCTCAGACTCATGGTAACACATGCTCACTGCTCCGTAAAGACAAGTGATATTACACCTTACTACTATGACCTACTAAAGCATAAGATGTTTCTTCAGCACTCTCCTACAGGCAGTGATTTACAAACACTGAGCCTCTATGGGTGCAGTACTTCTGTCAATCCCAGAAAAGGCTACAGTCTTTTTGCTCCAGACTAGTATACCTGGAGATCATGAAAAACACATTTATTTGCTAACAGCATAATCACCACAGCAACTAGCTTCCACGAAAATAACAGCCAACAACTCCAGGACAAAGACAGGCCACTAAGGAATTTAAGGGAGACCAACCAGCCCACACAGATCTGAAAAATACTGAAATTTGCCAAATTTACCTCTGAAGAAGCTGTAAGCAAGTGTCTGCAAACTTCTTATCATAACCCATCACACAAGTTGAATCAATGGCACTACTATCCGTCTCAACATCTCAGTGCCCTTTAATGTCCTTTGAAACTTTTTAGACACCTTCTAGGGCAGTTTTAGGGCAAGATTCTCCAATATACACAATTTCACCTTTCAGACCATTTCTTTATATCAAAAGAAAACTTTATCTTCTACTAAAATTCTTTGCCACTCCACAAATTAGTATTTACTTCTAATCACGAGTTTGAATAATGAAACTGCAGTTATTGCAAACAACACTTAAATGATGCTTTTCATGAAATGGAATGTCTTACAGAGGTAGATCAACCTCATCTTACAGATAAGGAAATAAAGATTCATACCTTGCTGAGGGACATACAGTCAGGGACACATGGAACCTATGTATTCTTACAGGCTTTCAGAGCTACTGCAGGAATTGTTCAATTTTCACAGAACAGCAGCTTTTTTGGGAAATGCACACCGATTTTAATTGATGGAATTAGAGAGACCATAACTTATTTATATACAACTAAAAAAGGCATCTAGTTGGGTTACAGAATCCAAGTCCCTGGTACAATATCTAAAACACACACTAAGATCATAATGGGCAGCTCAGCAAGCCATTTCACTCCTGAAGCTCCAGTGTGTTTCTCCAGTTATCATGAAAGCAGCTCACAGGAAACAAAACCACTTTTCTGCCCAATGCTGTTTTAGTGTACTACCATAGCCAAGCAACAATGCCCAGGTTAGACTGAGGAACACGTTTCAAATTTGCTGCACTAAGTTCTGCCCACTCATAATAGAGAAATTTACCAAGCTAATCACCCCTTGAGCCTAGCTCTGCTTGTAGGGGAATGATGGGAGGAATAGCTGCAGTACAGATAAGGATTCCCTTCTCAACCACAGCACTTCACTGTCAATTAAAGTTTACACTAGCATTGCAGACACAGTCCATTTTGCCTTCCTGTTACGGCAACAACATCATCAGGCTATCAAGCCAGATGAGTAGGTAGGTTAGATCTATGTCCCTCCAGTATTGTCTCAGCCTGAATCACTGGGGCTTGTGCATAAAAGCTATTAAGAAAAGTGTCTGCTACATACTGTACAGTAATGTAGCATGCTGAATGATTCAGTCAGGTATCTACTTTCAGCACATTAGTTTTCCTTTTTTAAAAAAACCCTAATGAATAATCAGACTCTTCTAGAAGACAGAAATGTGTTTGGCTACCTTTTGCTGTAACCCACAATTAATTGATACGACTGCCACTGCCCTGGAGTGTTAGCATGAACACCTAAATCACAGAAAAAGATAACCATGTCCAAGTAGTTTACAAAAGGAGAGTCAACAGATGTTATCAGTGCACACTGGCCTCTTCTAAACCCATACAGAGGAAGTTAGCCGACTTCCTCATTCCAGGTTCAGAATTCAATATGAAAGTACAGCTAAGAGCCTTAAGGTAAAATATAGCTGTGCAAGCTGGTGAACTTCTGCACTTCTTAAACAGCTAAGGTTCTCCATCTTCTGTCACCAGGGTGGGACAAAACTGCACAGAGCAAAACCCACCCAGCTCTGCTAGTCTTGTACATTACAAGCAGATTGCCCTACAAGACTGCAGCTTTCTGTAAGCAAAAAGACCACTGAGCTATGACCTGTACATGGGAAGGCAAGCAAGACCTACTTCTTTTCTAGCCTTCATTGAAGATGCTTTCCAATTCAAGGCAGCTGTCTTCTAACTTCATCTGAATGCTTTACCTAACCAAATAGAGAAACCACCACTGCCTCCCAGGTGTGTTTCAATGACTACTTAATGTCTGTCAAATGCTTGGAAGAAGAAAATCTCTACAGACCTTGGTGGCATTTAAGAACTGAATTGGGTAAGCAGCGAAGGCTCAGGTCATACAACACAAGTTTTTCTGAAAGGAATCCTTTGAATATTCCTACAGCAGGTTCAAACAAAGTCACCCTCCACACAATGCCAGCTGGATATTCTGGTGCTCGTACAGTTTCACTGTGCATATGTATATTCCATTGCTAGAACCATGAATAATGGTGCAGATAATCTGAATCTAGAAAATGTATGCCTAGAGTTCTCTTTGCCCTATAGTCAGATGGCCTTTTCTTCCCATTTGTTATAAGTCATTATAGACATACATACCTTAAAATTGCTCAGGCTAGCTCATCTCTTTGCATAGATATGCTCACAGTTGTAATCCAAATGTCTTCAACAGAGCTCTAGTTTTAAAAATACTTAGAAGTATAAATTCCACAGGAAAGACGAAAGTCAGAGGAGGGAAGGAGATACGATTTATCAGCTTCTACATTTGCAGACATCTGCAGTCAGTAGTGTAGGTCATTTTCAGAGTAAATCTTGGCAACAAAGCTTCTTTGTAGAGGAGAAAGACCTGCCAAAATTAACAAGGATGGTAAGAAACACCATTAACATCTGATAAGCAACAAAAAGCACTACAGATTCAGAGTCTCCTTCAGAAAAAAAAATTAACTCTTATTTGAAATACTGGGTTTCTGCTAGCTTTGATGTATTTAAAATCAGAAGCAGCCTCTGAAGTTACCTCAGTACTTTAACCTAATAAATTATCTCAAGGAGGAAAATTCTCTAAGCATTCAGATAATGTTTGATCATAACAGAGTGTTCAACACAATGCCACAGCGCAGAGTGTCTCGTTTCAGACAAAACCTCCCAGCTCATTAGATGCCTTGATGTTCACTAAATATTTTCACACAAATGCTTGTGTCACCAGTGTCAGACTAAAGAATTACGCTGCTGTCCAAAACGAGAATTAACACAGAGTGATGGAAGTCCAACACAGCATGGATGTAAGGTAAATACTAGGGAAGTTCCTGTACAGCATCAACATTTAGGAGTGTTGGTGTACTTCTGAACTTTTCTAGTTTGGATTTAAGTTAATAAAACGTAAACTCTGTAGGGCACCTTCTATTCTGTGTTTATATGTCACATAGCTTGGCAGTTCTAGGTTCCAAATCAAAGCTGTTCAATGTTACTGTGACACAAGTTTTTGTACTTTTGGTACAACAGTAGGATTCTTCTTTACAAATAAAAAAGGTCAGCTAGTTTTGCATTATCGTAAAATGCTTCTGAAAGTATGGCGAGACTTCATTTTGTAAAAAAGACACTTAACTCCATACAATCACTTGTTTTCTTCTTCTTTCCTTTTTCTTCTTGACCATTTTAACATGCTTGGCCGGAGGAACAAGAATTCAGAGCTTATTTTCAAGCTTAAAGAATCAGCTCACTGCTGTGACAACATCCAGTGTCTTGACTCTTCAGGGGTTTTAAGAATTTTAATTTTAGTATTTAAATCGTAGCAGACTACTCGCTTTCTAGTAATGCTGACAAATCACATATAGCCTGCCACACTGCATTTCATTCACGTATCTTCACTTTTTCCAAAGGTGTCAGTTTATCCACTATTAAACATTGTGCCAATTTCACAGAATCACAGACCGGCTGAGGTTGGATGGGACCTCTGGAGGTATCTGGTCCAACCACTCTGCTCAAGCAGGGCCACCTAGACCTGGATGCCCACAAACCACTTTAACAAGTCTCAGTGTTGAAATACTACCCCCTCTCTTACCCTAGGGAGTTAACATAAGTCCCCTATTAGTTCTAAAGAAACTCATATCCTCATCAAGAGGGTACGATCTTCTCTGTAAGTACCATTTCATCAAGCAGTAACCAAGCACGCTGCAGTAATCGGCTTTCACAGTGCCTTAGAAGACAGACATAAGGGAGAACCACTAGCCATATTTTAGGGGTGAGGAAACTTCAGATCCATCAAGGGGAAGCCACTCAGCCAGCTCACCTGAGCAATAGCTTAAACTCAGTGATTTCAGTTCCCAAAGCGTAGCTTTCCTTAGAAGACAACAGCTGTGAAACCAGCGGAAAACACACCACATCAGGAAAACACACTGGAGGAACAGCTGGAGAGAGAGAAGACTCCTCCCCCAGACCTCTAAGCAAAAATTCCTAGAAACCCAGCCCAAGATATTATCACACCAATTATTTTTGAACGGTTCAAAACCAAATTCTCTGAAAGACCAGATGAGATACTAATAGGTTTGCCTAACTCCAGTGCAAGCTGCAGCAGCCCACTCAATACCAACACCACCAGCTACAGACAGATACCAAACCATTCACCTGACCAGCACAGGAAGTGACTTTCTAGATATAACACACTTCCTAAAGAAAGTACCTCTTTAAACACACAGAAAAAAAACTTTAGTAGTCCTTCAATAATTTCTATTTTGTATCTGAATTAGACACAGCTTATTTATTGGATCTTTAGCTATGACTAAGTAGGATACAAGAGAGCCCAAACCATGCCAGAGACCAACTGTTATGTAGTACATGGACAGGGAAACCCCAAACTTTTAAATGAGGAAAAACCTTTTTTTTTTTTTTTTTTTTTTTTTTAAGATAAGAAACCCTGAAGCCCCAATTTATTTCTAACACAAAATGTACACAAAGTAGATCTTCTCCATCCTCAGTTTGCTTTCATATTTCAAACGACTTCCTGATCTGTTGAGTGGGTTTATCAGGCAGCTGAACTGGATGCAGTGGATACAAAGCTCCAAAAAACTTGTCCATTTGGCACAGGAACCCTGTGAGGCTATGGAGGTCATGGAGCAGTGCAAGTCCTGCAAGCTGACAGGCTCCACTGTCCCCAGACAAGAGAGGGGAGAGTCCCCCAGCACTGAGAAGAACACCTGGCTTTCCTCACCTCTGGGCATTTCCAGACAGACAAAGAATCTACCCTGAGAGGAGCATCATCCTGCTGAATAAACATGAAGCTATCTGCAACACATTAGTTAATCTTGCTTAAGACAGGACCAGCAGTGAGCAGCAAGGACAGCACCACTTGCTCCCTGGACTCAGGAGGACCCTCTTGCACTGGCTCAGGTTCAGGGCATTACTACTTCAACGGCCATACCTGTAGCTCAGATGTGTGTTACTAAGGGCTTCCACCTGGCAGAAAAATCCGATTTTAAGGTATGTGGTCAAGGGACACCACTTCTGATGCAGTGGTAGTTACATTCCTCTCCTCCTCCTCTACACTTCCACCCAGATCTTTATACCTTCAGTTCATACCTTTACAGCTTCTGCCCACCAAGAAGCCTCCTTAAGCTTCCTCATTAGTCGAATCTCATAGTGAAAGGGATGCCTCAACCTGCTACACGTGCTTTGTTGGCCACAGTATTTGTTACTAATGCACGCTAGGCGTTTCCGGTATCATCGATGACAGCGGCCGTACGCACAAGTTCAGCTGACAAACAGTTTCAGTTCCAAGCCTCACAACTTTTGGTACTAGTAAAGCTCCGAAGCTACCCCTTTACATCCAAAATTCTCTCCTTTAAAGGCCTGCCTCTGAAAACCCGTTTTTAGCACAGCAAAATTTGAGCTCACGTACATGTCGGCACAACGAAGTAATCCGCACTCACTTATCTCGTAAGAGACGGCTGAAGCGGGAAGGAACAGGTGAAGAATACACCCAAACTTCAGCTATCTTAAAAACCGGTAAGGTCCGGCGCAGCCGGCTCGCCAAAACAAAGAGCCCACGCACCCGCAGCGCCTTTGCGGGCGTTCCTGCAGGCGTGCACCGGGCCCCACCGCCCCCCGGGCGGGGCTGGGCGGCTGCCAGGGCTTCACGCCTTCCGCCGCCGCGGGGGCGCCTCCGCGCAGCCCGGCGGCGG